ACTGAAAAGAGAATTATAGGTTACATATACATACGTACACACACACACATATATAAATACATATGTGTGTGTGTGTGCGTGTGTGTGTGCTTGTATGTGTGTGTGTGTGTGCCTGTGTGTTTGTTTATATATGTGTGTGTGTGTCGTGTATGTGTGTGTGTGTGTGCATGTGTGAGTGTATGTCTATGTATGTATGCATATACACACATGAGTGTTTATACATGTGTGTTTGTACATGTCCTCACGCAATCTCAACCCGACCCGAATCCGCCGCAGCGCCGCGCAACCGCTCACCCCGGCCAGGATGCGCTCCGCCAGATCGGCCAGAACGTCGCTCATGATTTCCCCGAAAGATCCTCCGCCCAAGAAGTTGTCGAAGTGAGCGTCGAGGAAGTCGAACTCGGCCGTCAGCTGAAGGTCCTCGATCTGGTGGAGAACAGAAGGGGGGGGAAGAGGCGGCTGTCGAGGTATCGGGATTCCGCTTATGCACACTGAGACAAATATGCACACAGATGCGTATGCAAAGATTTATATATAGGTATCTATCTATCTATATATACATTAGAGAGAGAGATAGAGATAGTTAGAGAGAGAGGGAGAGAGAGAGAGAGAGAGAGAGAGAGAGAGGAGAGAGAGAGAGAGAGAGAGAGAGAGAGAGAGAGAGAGAGAGAGAGAGAGAGAGAGAAATATCTATATCTATCTATCTCTCTCTCTCTCTCTCTCTCTCTCTCTCTCTCTCTCTCTCTCTATATATAATATATATATATATATATATATATATATATATATATATAGAGAGAGAGAGAGAGAGAGAGAGAGAGAGAAGAGAGAGAGAGAAGAGAGAGACCGAGACCGAGAAAGAGACGAGAATGAGAAAGAGAAAGAGAAAGAGAATGAATGGGGACATCCTCTTCTAATGATTAAGGTGCCGCTTCAGCAAGACTAAATGGTCCAGTCAGATCCGTCTTGTTCCAAAGAAAGCACAGCTGATTGCCCCCCCCCCCCCCCAAGTTCGGCTGAATCCCTCCAGAGATCAATCACAAACTTCAGAGTCAAATTTGAGGGATAACTACGAGACCTCAGACGGAATGGGTGTGTCGGAATTGCCTCGAAACGCATATAGAAATTGGCAAAGAAAATGTCGCAAAAATCTCGTATCTTTGAGAAGAATTACTACGCAAATTATTTACTGAAAATTAAATCCTTTAGACTAAAAAAAAAAAAACTTACTAACCTTTTTGTCTCAGATGAGAGAGATAGAGAAGAAGAGAGAGAGAGAAGAGAGAGAGAGAGAGAGAGAGAGGAAGAGAGAGAGAGAGAGAGAGAGAGAGAGAGAGAGAGAGAAGAGAGAAGAGAGAGAGAGAGAGAGGGAGAGAGAGAAGAAAAGAGATAGATAGATAGAGAGAGCAGAAATAGGTAGATAGATAGAGAGAGAAAAGAGAGAAAAAAAGAAGCAAAGGAAAGGTAAACAAGACATACCTTTTTAACATTTCTCCCAACAGAAAACCCTTTATTGAACTTACCACCACGTGCGCCGACCGCTGACCACGTACCTGCAGGTAATCGTCGGGAGTGACTGTAACATCTCCCAGTCCGCTTACATCAGTCGAGACGATCTGGATGTAGAAAGGCCCATTTCCGAAGACCGGGAAGATACTCAACAAAAGGCCATCTGCCCAGTATTGACCGTCGACCTGTTATTGAGTTTAATGTGTTGTATTAATCATTTATGTGTCTGTTGTATTATTGGCCTCCTATATTTATGATGTATCCGAATCTATCATATTGCCATTATCGATATTACCAATCTCAACATTATTAGCATTTATATGATTGCTGTTGGTGTCATTATGGAACAAAATTATCTACATCGTTTTCATGATTATTAAAGTGTATGATTCTTCTGTAAATGCTGTTCTTTTTATCATCACTGTTATTGTTATTTCAGTAACATTATTGCACATATTGACAATAATAATGGTACAGATGATGGTATTGATAATAATTATAAAACATAATGAAAAAACTACTACTACTACTACTATACTACTACTACTATACTGCTGCTGTTGCTGCTGCTAATGATGATGATAATAATGTTAAAAAAGATATGATAACAATAATAATAAAAAATCATGATGAATATCAATCATAAGATAGCATGATGTAGTAACGTACTAATAAATAACAACCCTCCCTGTCCAGGTCTCGAACCTCTGCCACTTCAGGTAAGATCAGAATGAACAACGCTAAACCAGCTGAACTACACAATCCAACGGTAGTGAAACTAGGATCATACTAACTCCATAGACACCTATCTACTGAGTGTTAAAATAGCATAATTTATCCTTTATTTACTTATCTATTATCAATCAATGTACTCCGGGAACTATTACCAGTAGTAATAGCCGCTTAATTGCCTACAAGAGGATAAATGTACTAGAATAATGACAACGAGGTTCTACCCCCAATCCCCTCAATCAACAAGGTGTTCCTGATCTAAGAATCCAAACCTTATCCCATATGTACAGCAGTATCTAAAAAATACACCTCATTTTACATCAGTTATCCCAGATGTACAGAAGCATCCCTAAAACACACCTCATTCTGGATCAGACTCAGAATGACAGATTCGAATCCTAGTAAGAGAGGCTTGTTATTCACGCTTTCAAAAAAAAAAAAAAAAAAAAGTCTCAACTGCGCATGCGTGGATTTACCCGCACAGTGACGACGTGGAGACCGAGAGCGAGGGATGCTTGCTGGTAGTCGACGTGGACCGCCGTCGGAGAGAAGCTGGAGAGGCCGCTGATGAGCAGCTGGGATGCGTTGGCTTGGAGGCTGAACTCAGGACCCCTGGGAGGATGTGTGTGTATATATTTACGTATATATATTGCACTTATATCATGTATGCATACATATATATATATATATATATATATATATATATATATATATGTATATATATATATATATATATATATATATATATATACATATATATATATTATATATATATATATATATATGTGTGTGTGTGTGTGTGTGGTGTGTGTGTATGTGTGTGTGTGTGTGTGTGTGTGTGTGTGTGTGTGTGTGTGTGTGTGTGTGTGTGTGTGTGTGTGTGTGTGTGTGTGTGTGTGTGTGTGTGTGTGTATACCGACTTTCTGTAGATTTAAACAGAGAATTAAAATGCAGCCCCAGCTGTCTTCCTTTGTGCAGATGAACACAAGGGTTCTCTCATAATTGCTAAACAGGTGGTTGTTCCTTTGACCATAAGTGGGGCAACTAATTGGCCTAAGTAGATTAATTTTCTCCTTCCAGCGTAGACACAAAGCCATACAAACAAACACAGACTCATTATCGCTCAGTTGACAATGTTGCCTTAGATTTTGTAACATAATTATTTTGTCTACGAGTAATAAGCATAGTAATTTTAACGAGAGATATGATGCTTTTATTATTGGTTAGTGGCGCACTAATGACACAGCCTGGACTTTGACGCCGCACTAATTATACAGTGTGTAATATATGTATAGACTTGCTACATGTTCTGATGACACAAAGGTGCACATTAGGCCTAGGGCTAGGAATAATATTACGAGTATGTGTGCACGCGTGTAATCATTACAACGTAATACCGTAATAGTAATAATAATAGTAATAATGATAATGATATAACAATAATAATAATAATAACAATAATAATAATACGTATCATTATCATTACTATTATCATTATTATTTCTATTACCAATATTAGTATTGTTGTTTTTATTATCATATATGTGATTCAAGGCACACATTCAAGCCATACCTAGATATCCATTAAATTCGAGAACCACAGGTTGAAATCCACTGCTTTCAACCAAATTCAGATATTCCAATAATATTAGTTCTTATAGTTTCTTCTGACACCAAAACATTTTTAAAGACATATAGTGAAGTACACTATTAAACAATATTTCATCAAACAAAACACACGATAGAATTTCAAAAATATTACATAATTTTTACTGATACTAAAACGTTTTTGAAATCATACAGTCAAGTATATGCTCTATCAATATAAAGAAAACGATAATAATAATATTACCTAACATAATTTCTCCTGACAAAAAATCTTAAAAGTCAAATAGTCAAGTATAGTCTATAGTAATATTTAAAAGGAAAGAGAAAAAAACGCGATCATGTTACCTCATAATTTCACCAAAACATAAGATCATAAAATCAAGTATACTCTATATTACTATAAAAAAAAAAAAAAAAAAAAAAAAAAAAAGAAAAAAAAAAGCGATCTTACCACCTCATATAATTTCTCCCAACACAAAAAAAAAACTATAAAAAAATAATCAAGCATACCATATACTAACAACCCCCTCCTTCCCCTCCCACCCACCCCACCCCCCGCAAAAAAACTCAACCGACTCACTCAATATTCGGAATCTCGACCTTCCCGACCTCCAAGGGATCCAGAACAGGAATTCCCAAGACAGGAATCCCCGTCTTCATGGCTTCGGCAAAATTTTCCAACACCAGCCTGATGTAGTTGTCCACGCTCTCGTCTCTCAGGTCCCGCTGCGACGACGGCCGGGCTACGGAAGGTTGTGTGGTTGAGTGGTATAGGCTGAATGAGGGGTTTTGGGGGTGTGGCTGAGTGGTATAGGCTGGGTGAGGGGTTTTAGGGGGTGTGGTTGAGTGGTATAGGCTTGGTGAGGGGGTTTGGGGGTGTGGTTGAGTGGTATAGGCTGGTGAAGGGGTTTGGGGTGTGGTTGAGTGGTATAGGCTGGGTGAGGGGGTTTGGGGGGGTTGAGTGGTATAGGCTGGGTGAGGGGTTTTTAGGGGGTGTGGTTGAGTTGGTATAGGGTGGTGAGGGGTTTTGGGTGTGTGGTATAGGGGGGTGAGGGGTTTGGGCGTGTGGTTGAGTGGTATAGGTTGGTAAGGGGTTTTGGGGTGTGTGGTATAGGCTGGGTGAGGGGGTTTGGGGGATGGTTGAGTGGTATAGGCTGGGTGAGGGGTTTTGGGGTGTGGTTGAGTGGTATAGGCTGGGGTGAGGGGGTTTTGGGGGTGTGGTTGAGTGGTATAGGCTGGGTGAGGGGTTTTTGGGGGTGTGGTTGAGTGGTATAGGCTGGGTGAGGGGGTTTGGGGGTGTGGTTGAGTGGTATAGGCTGGGTGAGGGGTTTTGGGGGTGTGGTTGAGTGGTATAGCTGGTGAGGGGTTTGGGGGGGTGTGGTTGAGTGGTATAGGCTGGGGTGAGGGGTTTTAGGGGTGTGGTTGTAGGTATAGGTTTTGTAGTGGGGTGTGGGGTTGAGTGGTATGAGGGCTGGGCTGAGGGGTTTGGGGTGGTGGTTGAGTGGTATAGGCTGGGTGAGAGGTGGTGGTATAGGGGGTGAGGGGTTTGGGGGTGTGGTTGAGTGGTATAGGGTGGGTGAGGGGTTTAGGGGGTGTGGTTGAGTGGTATACGGCTGGTGAGGGGGTTTGGGGTGTGGTTGAGTGGTATAAGGCTGGGTGAGTGGTTTTAGGGGGGGTGTGGTTGATGGTATAGGCTGGTGAGGGGTTTTAGGGGGTGTGGTTGAGTGGTATAGGCTGGGAGGGGGTTTGGGGGTGTGGTTTGAGTGGTATAGGTGGGTTGAGGGAGGGGGGTGTGGTTGAGTGGTATAGGCTAGGTGGAGGGGTTTGGGGGTGTGGTTGAGTGGTATAAGGCTGGGTGAGTGTTAGGGGGTGTGGTTGAGTGGGTAAATAGGCTGGTGAGGGGTTTTAGTGGTTGGTGGTTAGGGGTATAGGCTGGGAGAGGGGTTTGGGGGTGTGGTTGAGTGTATTAGGTGGGTGAAGAGGGGGTTTGGGGGTCAATCCTGCGTGTGTTGAGGGTGGCTATAGGTGGCGTGAGGGGTTTTAGGAGGTTGTGTTGGAGTGAGTATAGGCTAGAGTGAGGGTGTTTGGGTGTGGTTGAGTTGGTATAGGTGGGTGAGTGGTTAGGTGGTGTGGGTTCGAGTGGTTATAGGCTGGATAAGGAGGGTTTTAGGGGTGTGGTGAGGGGTATAGCTGGAGAGGCGTTTTGGGTTGTGGGTTGGTTGTATAGGGTGGGTGAGATGAGGGGGTTTTTGGGGTGTGTTGAGTGGTATAGCTTGGGGGAGATGGGGGGAGGGGTGGGGTATTTGTGGTTGAGGCTGGGTGGAGGGGTTTTAGGGGTTTTGGCGTTGAGTGTATTTAGGGTGGGTGAGGGGTTTTAGGGGGTTGGCTTGAGTGGTATAGGCTGTGTGAGGGGTTTTAGGTGTGGTTGATGGTATTAGGTTAGAAGGGGTTTGGGGTGTGGTGTGAGTTGGTATAGGTGGGTGAGGGGTTTTGGCGGATGTGGTGAGTGGTAAGGCCTGGGTGGGGGTCTTTGGGGTGTTGTTGTATAGGGGTGAGGGTTGAGTGGTATAGGCTGGGTGAGGGGGGGGTTGTGGGGGGCTGTGAGGTTGAGTGGTTATAGGCTGGGTGAGGGGTTTTGAGCGTGTGGTTGGGATACGTAGGTCATAGGGCTGTTGAGTGGACGAGGGTTTGGGGTGTGTGAGTGGTATAGCTGGGTGAGGGGTCTTTAGGGTGTAGTTGAGTGGTATAGGGCCGGGTGGGTTTTAGGGGGTGTGGGTTGAGTGGTATAGGCTGCGATAGGGTTTTGAGTGGGGCCTCCAGTTGAGTTAGAGCGGGTATAGGCTGGGTGAGGGGTTCTGGGTGTGGTTGAGTGGTATAGGCTGGCGGTGGGTTCTTTAGGGGTTTGGTGAGTGGTATGGCTTGGGTGAGGGGCGTTTTAGGGGCTGCTGGGTGAAGGGGTGTGGTTGAGTGGTGAGTCGGGTAAGGCTGGGTGAGGGGTTTTAGGGGTGTGGTTGAGTGGTGGATAGGCTGGGTAGGGGTTTGGGGGTGTGGTTGAGTGTATAGGTTGGGTGAGGGGTTTTAGGGTGTGGTTGAGTGGTATAGGCTGGGTGACGGGGTTTTAGGGGTGTGGTTGGTGGTATAGGCTGTGGTGAGGGGTTTTAGGGGGCAGCTATTGGGGTTTGTAGGGGTTTTAATGATGGTGATGATTATGATAATAATAGTGATAGTAATGATAAAAAATGGTATGGATATTATTAATAATAATAATACTAATGATGATAATGATAATAATAATGATAATGATAATGACAAAAAAATGATAAGGACACTATTGATAATACGAATACTAATGATTATGGTGATAATAATAATGAAAATAATAATGATAATGATAATGATAACAATGATTATAATAATGGTAATGATGATGGTGATAATGATAATAATAATAACAATAATAGTGACAATAATAATAGCAATTATAATGATCGAAATAACAATAACAACAACAATGACGATACTGATAGCAGTTAACAACAGTAACGAAATAATAATAACGATAGCAAAAATGATAAGGAATAAAAACAACAATAATAACAGCAACAATAACAATAACAAAAAATAATGAAGAGAGTAACAGTGATGTGAAAGTCAATAACAGAAGCTAAGGAGCGAGTTCACAGAATGAGAAGAGGAAACAACTAAAAAATATGAAACTCCAGCGTTGAAAAAACAGTATTTCACACTTGACTGGAGGCTGTCATGGGGAGTCACTGACAGCAGGATTAAACTTGGGAAATCTGTAGCTACGCATTTTTTCTTTTTTTTTTCTACTTTTTCTCGCTTTCCTTTTTGTTCTGTTTGTCGAACCTTCGCTCGCTCTCTGTCTGTTTCGCTCGCTTGCTCGCTCCTCGTCTCTTTTTCTCTTTGTCTCGCTTTCTCTCTCTCTCTGTTGCTTTCTCTGTCTTTCTCTTCTTCTCTCTCTCTTTCTCTCTCTGTTATTTTCTCTCCTTCTCTCTCCTCTCTTCCCTCTTCTCTCTCTTTCTCTCTTTCCCTCTTTCTCTCTCTCTCTCTCTCTTTCTTCTCTTCTCGCTCGCTCTCTCTCTCTTTCTCTCTTTTCTCTTCTCTCCATCTATCTCTCTATCTGCTTGTCTGTCTGTCTGTCTCTCTCTCTATTTCTCTATCTATCTATCTGCTTGTCTGTCTCCCCTCCCCCCCTTCTCCCCATCTATCTATCTATCTATCGGTCTGTCAGTCTCAATCTTTCCTCCCTCCCCCCCCCCCCCCCTCTCTCCGGATTCACTAACATACGATCGTAACGCATTTACCAGCGGTCATTTACCATTGCACTTACCATTGATGGCAAAGTGGGATTCACGAAGAAACGGTATTTGGATGTGCTGAGTTACAATCGTAAATCGACTCATTCTAATAGTAGCCAACAGATGGCTCTAGTAAAGCAATTCCACCAATCACCATACATAATTTTCTTGGTTCTTTCGGCCAATCACGAAACATGTAAACAGAAGTATTACACAGCGAGATTTTTAAAATAATCTTCACAGCTAATTTATAAATATTTATTAATATTTATTAATATTAATTTATTAATAATAATTAATTTATTAATATTATATCATTTATTATTTATTAATATTGATTAATATTTAAGCACATGTAGAAAATGAATATGTTTATTGGATCGTATCCATCATGTGGGATATATATTTACTGTATAGATAGGAACCAATACAAACACTTTTATTAATATATTATTAGTAGTATTAGTCCAACCAGTTTTTTTATTGATTAATTTATTTTTCATCATTGTTAAACAAAGAACCGGACCAAAGTTTTTAGTAATCGCTGTCTGTCGTCAAAGGAAATATTTCAAACTTATTCTTGCCCATGCACTTTGGAGTTTATTGTCAAAATGCCGACAGTCATAAATAGTTTTTCTTTATCATTTATAATAATTATGTCAGAGAAGAATTCTTTAAGAGTTCACTTATCTATCGACTCCATGCATTCTAGTATCATATAGGCCTATAATTCTACGAGAATTTGTGTGGATTTTATTCTTGCTAGTTTCATGTGATTTTTTTATTTATTCACTATGCCCGTATTGCGATGTGTTTGCCATCATATTGATTACATCAGGTGTAAAAACAAACCTAAAATTTTACTTAGATATTGATTTTTTGACGACCACTGGATAATTTACCCATGGTAACTCCGATGGCAAGTTGTTAGTGAATACCACCGCTGTCTAGTTACCATGGCAACTATAGTTACCAGTGATTTTACCATCGTAAGTGCGTTAGTGAATCCGGGCCCTGCTTGTTTGTCTCCCCTCCCCTCCCCCTCTCTCCCCATCTATCTATATATCTTTTGGTCTGTCAGTCTCATCTTTCCTCCCTTCCCCTCCCTCTCTCCCTCTCCATATATATTTATACTAATGCGTGTGTGGTTGTGAGACAGTACAGAATTTATTTTTTTCTCAAATATAATGCTTTTATATCATTCGCCCATTAAGAATAGTTAACCGTATTATCATAAAACCTAAACATAAGAACATAATAATGCCTGCATCTTTTCCTTTTTAGCACATTAAACACATGACTTATTCCACACTGTTGGACTGTCTGGTCTATATTTAGAGAGAGTATATATATATATATATATATATAATATATATATATATATATATATATATATATATATATATATATAATATATGTGTGTGTGTGTGTGTGTGTGTGTGTGTGTGTGTGTGTGTGTGTGTGTGTGTGTGTGTGTGTGTGTGTTGTGTGATGTATACTCGTATGTATGTGTGTGTGTTTGTGTACGTATATATATATATATATATATAATATATATATATATATATATATATATATATATGTATATGTACATATATATATGTATATACATATATAATATATATATATATATATATATATTATATATATATATATGTATATATGTATATGCTATTATATATATATATATATATTATATATATATATATATATATATATATATGTGTGTGTGTGTGTGTGTGTGTGTGTGTGTGTGTGTGGTGTGTGTGTGTGTGTGTGTGTGTGTGTGTGGTGTGTGTGTGTGTAGAGAGAGAGAGAGAGAGAGAAAG